GTTTGTGTGTGTGTGTGTGTGTGTGTGTGTGTGTGTGTTTGTGTGTGTGTGCTTTAAAAAAATTTTTTTTTTTTTTTTTTTTTTTTGTGGGCATGTGCATAGAGGTCAGAGGACAACTTGCTTGCAGAAATTGGTTCTCTCTACCACATGGGTCCTGGGGAATCAAACTTAGGTGGTCAGGCTTTATGGCAAGTGTCATGACCTGTTACCACCTGACCATTCCAACCCTTGTTTCTTGTTGGGCTTCAACAGTTCTATGAACCTCATTTCTGTGCCCAATGCCATGGCCCCCAAAGCCAAGACAGGTATATGCTTCGGCTTCTGAAGTTAGGCCAGGGCAATGGCCCAAGCCCACCTTCCAGGTCAGACAGAGCCACTTAGAGCCTATAGCAGAAGACCTGGCTCTCCTGGTCGTTACCTTCACAGCGTAAAGAAAAGGAGGCCTCTGTACTAGCTCCCATTTTGGGGGAGCCTCTGATGACATCTCTAAAAAAGATCTGGGTTTGGAGAGATGGCTCAATGGTTATGCAAGGTGAGAACTGGAGTTTGGATCCCCAGAACCTATGTAAAGTTGGATGGAGGAGCACATGCCTATAATCCCAGAGCTCCTATGGCGAAATGGGAGGTGGAGACAGGAGAATCTTAAGAAGCACATGGGCCAGTTATCCTGACTTACCCAGCAGGGAACACCAAGAAACTCTGCCTCATACAAAGTGGAGGCCAAGAACTGACAGCTGAAGTTAGTCTCTGACTCCCCCCTCCCAAACTCACACTTGTTTATACTTCCTCATGGTCAAGGCACTCCCTCAAGGAGCATATGCAGGAACTGATTTGACTCACCCTCTTCGAGGCAGGACCCCTGTTCGTGACTATTCCGAAAGTCAGTTGCCAGGGGTTCCTTGGCAGGAGGAAAGAGGGAGTGCTCTGGCCACCTGGCTGCCTCTGTGTTAAAACTGCCCACAGGTGTGGTACCACCAGATGACTCTTCTCCAAGGGACTTAAGAAGCTCTCTGTGGGCCAGCTCCATGTCCTAGAAGAATTATAGGCAGGGTCTTGCAGACAACTGCTGTGAGTGTGTACGAGGAATGTCTGCTCCAGTCTTTTTTTTTTTTTCCTTTCCAGTGCTAGGGACTGAACCCAGAGTCTCACGCATGAATACTTTTAGTCTTCACGTTAAGACTAAGAGCGAACTGTGATTCAAATTTTTTTTTTAATCATTTTATGTGTATGAGTGTTTTGCCTGCATGTATGTAAGTATACCTATGCATGCAAATGCCCGTGGAGGCCATTAGAGGGCATTTGATCCCTTGGAACTGGAGTTAGGGATGGTTGGTTGTTAGTAGCTGCCATGTAGGTGCTGAGAACCAACTTGGGTTCTCTTCAAGAGCAGCCAATGCTCTTAACCACTAAGTTATCTCTCTAGCCCCAGAATTGTGATTTAATGGTATGGCATGGTGGGCTCCAGTGAAGATACATCCTTCCTGGGCTGGAAATGTAGCTTAGTAGTAAAATATTTGCCTGGCATGTGTGAGGCCCTAGGCTCAATTCCGTGTGTGTGTGTGTGTGTGTGTGTGTGTCTGTGTGTGTGTGTGTCTGTGTGTGTGTGTGTCTGTGTGTGTGTGTGTCTGTGTGTGTGTGTGTCTGTGTGTGTGTGTGTGTGTGTGTGTGTGTATGTAATGTGTGTGCATGTGTATGTATATGTGTTTAAAGATGGACAAATTTCCCTCTCAGGGAACTGTCCTGGGTGATGGATAGGACAGAGGGTTGCCAGACCCAAGGTAGTATTCCTCACCTTGAGTCTGTGAAGCTTGAGGGTGAGCTGCTCAATGGTTTGGAAGATCACACCCACATCCCTGAAGACCAGGCTGCGGGGAGAGCGGCTGGGGTGTCTTTGATCCCCACTCCTTCCCTGCTGGTGCTGAGGATCTGCCTGCCATGCAGGGAGGCTGTCAGGCTGGGAGAGGCTTATGGGTGTCCCAGCAGGCTCAGTGCTGGAGTCCCCAAGTCCTGTTGGCATGCTGACATAAAAATAGTTCCCTGTCCCAATGGCAAGAGAAAAAAATTTAGGAGACAAACAGATGCTTTAAAAGTCATTCTCCCACTCCCTCAGTGTGACAGAAAGGGCCAGGGACACTTCTATAGATAACCTAGGACATGTGGGCCCACACTGCCTACCAGGTCCTAGAGGTCCCATTTCTCTCTAGATGGCAACTGTTCTCAGGCTGGTCACTTGCCAGGGAAGAGACTCAGTGATGATGAGCATGAAAGGAGAAGGGGCGGGGTGGAGGTGTTACACGGAGGGAGACAGACAGTGACTCCCATTCACGAAAGGAAGGGGCAAGAAGTGCTGGGTTGGTAGGCCCCTCTGAAAAGGTTCAGGCAGCAGCCTTTCATCTGTTGTAGCTCACCCTCTGCTGATGAATGTCAGTCCTGCCTTGCATGTTACCTACCCCCAGAAACCTCAACCTATTGAGGGAAGCCAGAGATAGCTGGTAGAAGTATGTGAAGGGTCACCAGAGGCCATGCCTATAGGAAAGCGAGGATTCTGGGAGGCCATGCAACCCTTTTTCCACAGTAGTGCAGTGGTCGCCAGGGTTGGGGAAGAAGCTGATCAGGATGTCAGGTTACAGACACTGGACACACTTCCTTGCCTCCTCCCAGAACTGAGCATAGGCTACTTAAGCTTATGTTCTGAAAGGGGCTTGTTGCAATGAGTGGTTTCTCAAAGCTGGAGGTCAGACTTGGTGGCACAGGGTCTACCTCCTATCTTTGGGCCGATGTGCTACTTCCCACCCATCTCAGATGGCTGAGGGATCGTGAAGAGTGTTTGTGGGTAACAGGCAGGGCTCTGTCAGCCAAGGTCCAATTCTGTCCCATGGGACCCCTGCTCCAGCCTGGCCTGGCTCTGGCTTCAAGCAGAAGTTGATTACCCGTAGCCTGTGTTCCTCCTTCCACTTCAGGTGGCTCAGGCTCTGACTGGCCACTCTCTGGTAGTGCAGGGATAACTTTGTTGCCCGCCACCTCGGCTGCACCAACACCACCACCAGGGAGAGGAGAGACTGAGAGACAAGGTGAGGGGAGGGGAGGGAGAGAAAGCACGAAGGAGAGGGAGAAACAAGTGGGTGTGGCAGGGGATAACAGGAATAAAGGAAAAAGAACAAAGTGAGCACAAGATCATACATGGTCATGTCCCAGGAGCTGCAGAGAACTTTCTCCCAAGTCACAGTGGGAGAACAGAAGCAAGTCAGTTCCCAGAAGCCCAGCAGAGGCATCCCTCAGCCAGTGGAACAGAGGGTAGCACAGGCACAAAATGCTTGCTGATGGGGAGCCCTTGCTAGGCGACCTCTTCGGCCTCTAGTGGTCTAGGCTTTGCTTCACCTTTCTGGTTACACTCCTTCCCTCCTCTGCAACTTGCTCTGCCTGGTCTAGGACTGCCCCACCCTTGGCCTTACAGGTCTGTTCAAACCTGGCCTTAGCTTCTCACAGTACTATCCACAGCGCCCCCAACCTGGGGCACATTCCCTGTAACCCTGGCACACTTGCTCCCAGACCATTCCCACTTTCAAAGGTCTCCCCAGCTTTGTCTCAAGCCCCTCTGTGCTCAGCCACACTTTGGAATAACTGACTTTCACCTTTCTAAGTCTGGGTCTCCTGGGAAAAAAGAACTACATCTTCCCCTTAGGACATGACAGTTGTGAAGAATACAAAGAAACTTTTATTGGAAGTTGAGCTATGCGGACTGGAGAGGGCAGTAGGAATTGCAGTATCACAGAAAGAAGCTGAGATGATCTGCATTTTGTCTAAGGCCACATGCGTGGAAGCAAGGGCATTGAGCCTTGCCTGCCTGACTTCAAACCTCCCCAAGGCTCTGCTCATAGTACCTAGAAGAAAGATGGGGGAAGAAATATTTGCCTGCAAGACTCACCTCCACCCCAGCAAAAGTGTGAGCTTGTCTCCCCAGTGAACTCACAAACGGATTTTACCTTTTCTCACAACTTTGTAACTTCCCACTGGTTCTGTGCTTGAAGCCTCTTCAGCTGGATTCCTATCCAGCTCAGGAGAGTCCCAGATCCCAGAATTTCTGGTCCTTGGGGGAAGGTGTGCCAGAGAACAGAGAGCCACATCTTCCTCCTCTGGCTGGCTTCCCTCTGGCCCCAGGAACTGGGTGTTGTCACCTACAGTGGGAGCTTGCCCTGGGGATCCTGGGTCCCAGGGGTGAGAAGTAATGCTGATGACAGAAGGTGTGGGTGTCAGGTCATCCTCAGGCTCACTGGCAGCCTGAGTCTCCACAGTGTGACCAGGCAGCAGGCTCCATAGGATCAGGTGTCGCAAGTTCTCCACTAGAGGAGAAAAGGGGTGATGGCCTCTCCAGCTAAGGACTGAGCATAGCCCACTGAATGGAAAGCTCAGAGGAGACAAGGAGCACCTTACTCCTGCCACTGACACAGTCAACCCACTACAGACAAAGGTTGGAGCTAGACAGATCTGGCTAACTAGCTTGTGTTTCTGTATCCATCTCTCCTCAAGCACAACTAGAAGAACCTTCAAGCAGGGAGAGGATGAAATTCATGCTGGCTATGCTACTGGGGAACCAGGTGCCAATGGCAGTCTTCAAGGCACTTACCATCTTCCAGGGCAGCGTCAGCAAGTCCTTCCATGAGCAGAGAGCCTGGAAGGGCCAGACGGACAGGGTTCCTTGTCCCGATGCCCCTGTTTTCTCCATCCAGAGACGGGGAAGAGTGAGATAAGGCTCCCAGCTCCTCTTCCTCTGCATCGCCCTCCTGCTTGGGCTCCTCTTGTGGTACCAGCTGCTTCCCTTGAACTCTCTGCTTGGGTCCAGTACCTGTTGTGGATGAGAGTGTGTTAGCACATGGGAGAATGCACATGTAAGGTGAGCCCATAGCCACCTATGGATCCAGGGGTTGGTAAGCTTTATGGAAATTCATAGGCCACCTCCTGTGGCAGCCACCATACCAGACTCTTGGCACATATCAGCAGACAAAAGACCCCTGGTCTAGGGATGGGACCTTAAAGTCTGAGTGGAGGGACACAGAGAAATAAGAGTAAACAAGGAAATCATGGCATTTGTTAGAAGGTGTTAAGTATTTTGGAGTCAGGGTTTTTTTTTTTTTTGTCTTTTTTTAAGACAGGGTTTCCCTGTAGCCCCAGCTGACCTGGAACTCGCTATGCAGACCAGGCTGCTCTTGAACTCACAGAGATCGGCCTGCCTCTGCCTTCTGAGTGCTGGAATTAAAGGCGTGTGCCACCATGGCCAGCTTGAAGTCAGTAGTATTGAGTATTTTGGGAAAGATGACAAAATAGAGCAGGGTAGAGGGCATTAGAATGCTGGTTACACTATTAATTGGCATAGTTAAAGAAAACAGCGCTGGAACCAAGATGGGAGGGAGGTGTGAGAGTCAGAGGGGAACATTCTAGCAGAAGCAAAGAGAACAGTGACCCAGGTAGGGAACTCAAGACTTCTCTCCAGATTCAAGATCTTAACGAAGAAATATCTGAAAACTGCTCTGTTCCATCCCATCCTAATAATTACATCTTAAACCCTGAGCTCCTTGTATACTCCAATACTGCTCTAATACTCTCTTGTGCATCGTTCTATACAAGTAATACTAGGTTAAAGCAGGCATGGACCCTTGGATTTGACCTGACGGCTTCTCTTTTCCTCTTCTGTTAACTCTGTTACCCACAGAGGTAACGGCAGTTTGGTTAAGTAAGCTGGTATGAAATGTCTGCAGTCTGTCCGTTTCTTTTCCCAGACTCCTCTTTCCCATTTCTCTTCTACTCATTTTATCAAAACCTCATACCTCTGGCACTGATGGGCTCTCCCATCATCCCATACCCTCACTTGACCCATCCCTACAAAAAATGGACTATACTGGCCCCCATAAGACAGGGAGGAATCTTACCTCCAGATAGGTCCTTGGGTTCTGGTTCACTATGGTACACTTCTGAGTCATTTAGTCCTACCCTGAGGGAAGAAACCACCAAGGTTAGAACAGATCACCTGGAGGCAAAGCTTTGCCAGCCAGGTCATAATGCCATGAAACTCCAGCCTGGCCTTATCACCTGAAGGCTGGCAAAGTGGACAGAGGGTGGGTGCTGGCCTAGCTTCTCTGATTGCATTCTATACCTCAACCCTGCTTCAGAAACAGTCTACATTATAGCCAGGTGGAAAGTAGTGGGGAGAGTAGGCAGAGACAGAAGGCAGAGAAATGATTTGCCATCTGCTAGTCCTTGGGGTTGTGTTTCCCTGCTAGCATTTCCCTGCTGAGGCTGTCTACCCTAGAGGTGAAGGGCTAAGAAGCAGCAGTAAACAGGCAGCTTGGAGTGGGGATGGTGCTGGGAGCTGGAGGGCTAAGTACTGTACCTGCTGGGGGTAGGGCCTTGGTAGGCTGGCTCCTGGGATCCTGGGGATGAGGGATGGATGGGTGTTGGGGCAGCTCCAGGGTGCTTGGTGGCGTTCTGCACAGCCTCATCTAAGAGTTCCATCCATCTATTGCTCAGCAGAAACAGAGAAGATTGGTGGTGAGAACAAGGCCAGGTGCACTCCTTGTCTTCTGCAAACCCCGCTGATTCAAAGCTTGAAAGCGCTCTCCATGCTCTCAAGATCTACCGGCTGCTCCCCTGGGTTTATATGACTTAAAGTTATCAATTACTGGATTGCAATCCCCCTGTTAAGTCTGGTGCTAAGCACTCTGTATATTTTCTCTCAGAATAACTAAGGGATAGCATTATTCACATTGAAAACCTTGAGAAGGGATTGTCTGCCTCAACCTGTTTCCTTCCACTGTGCTATGCCACCTCTTGTGGCCAATGTTAGGAACATGGATTCCTATGGGTGGATGGCCCAGGGAGGCAGGGTCTAGACTTACATGCTTGTCCCAGGGCCTGGCTATATACTGGGGTGATGGCCTCTGCTTCTCTGTGCCTATGTTGCTCCTACTTTTCTTTCTAGCTCTCCATCAGGGAACTGCTCTGGAACCCAGCCCTGGCCTCACTGACCAAATCCTCCCACATACTGCCCTAGTTCCAAGGGAACAGAAGTTACACAGGCCCCCTCAATTCTCACATATTCTTGTCTGATGATGTCAATGCAACCAACTCATAGATCTGGGGAGGGCCCAGCTCAGAAGTGCAGATGATGAAGAAGGCTCGTTTATCTGTGTGAGGAAAGGAAGGTGGAGAGTCTGCATTGAGGGTGGCAGGTGTGGCCCCTAACATGAAGAATACATAAGATATAGCTGGGTCATCAGACTCACTTGGGACTCATCAACAACAAAGGCAGTTCCTGGTCCCCCAATGATACCTGCCATGGCTGCCCCTACTGCCCTCTTGCTTTAACAACTGAGGGTTGATATGTGTATGGTGCCTTGGGCTTACCCTATTGTCACATGCCCACTGCCCCTTTTGAGATGCTTATGGAGATCGGGTGTGACAGATGAAGATGAGCCCACAGAATGTGGTTGCTGACTCCTGCCTGAGCCCCTTCTCACATTCTGCAATGCCGTCTCAGACCCCTGGACTTTGGGTCTGTGGTGTCTTTTGAAACCCTGCTCTGCCCAAGGCACTCTTGCAACAAGAAGGCCTATTCTAGTCTTCCTGTCCAATCCATTTCTTCTAATGCTGTTCTGATATCCTCAGCCCCACCCAGGGGAGCCTATCCCACTCAGCATGATCCTTAAGGGTTGACCACCCATTTCAGAAGGTTGTTCATCTTCACCTTGATTCCTCATCTATTCCTTCACCCTGCCCATCTTGGATTGTATCTTCCTGCTTGGAGTGGGTCAAGATAGGAAAGAATGTAGGAGGACAGTAAGTCTTATAAGGCTCTCAAATGGCCCTGCATCACCCAGTGTTCACTGGATAGTGAACAATGAACACGTCACAGAGTCCTAGGCTTGCTAGTTCATCTCTTGGGTACCTGTAGCCACTGAGCGAATGAGAACAGCATTGAGCTTGAGCACAGGGCTGAAGGTCTGCTTGCTGTCTGAGGAGCCCACAGCTGTTTTGCTGTGGCACTTCAGCAGTAGCCTCTCTTCTTGTCTCTGCAGCAGCACTAGCAGGTCCTCTAGTAGCAGCACCTGGAGGTCTGGGGGTTGAGGCATTCCCTGTTGTCCACTTATCCCTCACCAGCATGAGAGGCCCAAAGGCTGTTGGATGCTCATGTCCAGGGTCTAAGAGGCCCTAGGAGTCAGTGACCCCCAACTCTTTTTTTTTCTCTGCTTCCTCCCTTCCCACCCTGGGCTTAAGGAGCCCCAAGTTGCCATCCTAGCTGTATCATGCCTGCGTGCCTCTCTATCTTCCCCACTATCCCATTAGAGCAGCAGCTTCCAGGGCTGCTGCTACTCAGAAGGAAGAGCCCTGGAGAAGCACACTCAGCTCAGGTTCCCTCCCGTTCCCAGCCCTGGCACATACCTAGGGTCTTATCTTTGCCGATCCTCCAGGTCAGGGGTCCCTCATGGATCATCTTCCTGGTTGTAAGATCCAGGCTCTGTTAAGAAGACATCCTCATCATCACTATTCACTCACCACGTTAAGGAACTACCATGTCTGTGGACATTATGCTAAGGTGCTGGGAGCCAGTGAGTAGAAAACAGTCATTACCCTCATGCTCTTGCAGGGAATGGAGAGCAAAAGACCCTTTGAAGCCTTGTGTTCTGTGCTGCTCTGGGAAATATACTAATGGCTCTGATTTTGATTTCCCACCTTAGGCCCATTACCTTCCAAGGAAGCCATACTGCTTTTCCTGACCTGACCTTTCCTTCAGCTTATTCTTCCCAAATTCTTTCTTTTTTTTTTTTCTTCTTTTTTTCCTTTTGGTGTTTCTGAGACAGGGTCTCCCTGTAGCCCCAGCTGGGCTTGGAACTCACTATGTAGACCAGGCTGGCCTTGAACTCACAGAGATCTGCCTGCCTCTGCCTCCCAAGTGCTGGGATTAAAGGTGTGTGCCACCACACCTGGTCCCCAAATTATTTCACCTTCACTTGTAGTCCTCCCCACCCCATTCTCTTGGGCTGAGGTCCAACACCTAGTCTTTACTCAGTGAAGCTATGTTTGTTCTTGTTGATCTGGGGATGAGTGACACTGATAGGGCGTGCTTCCCAGGGCACAACTGTGCCACCCTATCACAGGTAGTCTATGTTTCTGACCTCCACAACTCCTTGGGCCTTGACTTGAGTTCTGCTCCTCATGGGGCCCAAGAAGAATGGGTTTGAGGGGCTGCCACTGTTCCAGCCTCTGTCTCTTACCTTGAACTCTGCTGCCAGGGGGTTGTTGGCTCTCTCTAGGGCAGTGGCATCTAGGCGTTTCTGGTAGCCCTCTAATCGGTGTTGGTTCTCCGTCTGCTTCACCGCTTCATTTACAAACTTGAGAATCTCCCGGCACTGGTCCCGAGCACGGCAGAGCTTCTCGTGCTCAGATGTGCCACCTGCCAAACAGGGGACACAGACAGTGGTAAGGGGGTCTGCTTGGTAAGTACACTTATCTGTGGTTATCAGCTTGCCTCTAGCCAGCAGGCAGGGGTATAGGCAGACCACCCCCTGCCCCACTGGAGACTCTCACGTGGGTAACTTCACCAAGCATCCTTGAGTACATACACTACTGTAAAGATACTGACGGCTTTGAGAATTCTGGCCTAGACCACAATTACTATTGTGGGAAAGGGCGGGGGTTATGCTTACTCAGATGAGATTCCCAATGCCCCTGTATCCTGACTCCAATGTGTAAAATTCAAGGGAATGAAAAATGCCTGGGAATCTCAGACACAGAGACAGCCTGGGTTAGATTCCCTTGTTTAGCCTGTTTTCTATTCCTCTAGTGTTACCATATATGATTGTAGCTTATTAAATAATTTTGTGTGTGTGTGTGCACATGTGGAAGTCAGTGGACAACTCTGTTGAACTGGTTCTCTCCACTTTTTTCTGTGGGTTCCTATTGGGCTGTATTGGTAGCCCCTGGTTGTAGCTTTTGTACATTACATAGAGTTGTCCAACAGGGGTACAAATGGGGGCTAAAATCCAGTACAGCTCTGGCAGTAAGCCACAACTGCCCAGAAAAAACAAGATTCCCTTGAATGCCAGCCTTTGGGCCCATGTGATGCTCCCTGATTTGTGTAAAGGCCCCATAGGCCAGTGGTGGCTCTGTTCTCCCTGCTGCACAGCACTTTGTATTTCTAAAACACATTTACAATCATTGTCTTCTCTAAGACTCAATGTGCCAGGACAAGGGAGAAGGCATTGAAGACCATAAATGTCTAGGTTTTTTCTTTTTTAATATTTTATTATTTTTATTTTATGTGTATGTGTGTATTGCCTGCATGTAGATAAGTGCACCCATGTTGTGCAATGTCTGCGGAGGTCAGAAAAGGCTGTCGGATCCCCTGGGACTGGAGTTATGGACAGTTGTTAGCCACCATGTGGGTGTTGGGATTCAAATCCGGGTCTTCTCTGAGAACAACCAGTGTTCTTAACCGCTGAGCTATCTCTCTAGCCCCATGTCTAGGTTTTCTAAGATCATAAAGCCATGACAGAGTAAGGGTCTGAAAGGAAATCTGCTCCACATGGTGCTGGTCCTCCCTGTCCCCTACCCTCTGTGTACTTGATGATGTTCTCCAGTAGCAATGGGTACTTGGTGAGCCTCTGCATTTCAGAGATGATAAGGTCTCGAAGCTGCAGCCGCCGGCATTGAGGGTGGCTCTCAGCCTCCTAGATAGGAAACAGAGAAAGAAGTTAACTAGTGTTTGGGAGCTGTCTTAAGGGCTCAGGTCCAGATGGCTATGAAAATGCTAACCCCAGATGGGTCACTTGGAAATGGTGGCAGCTTCTTCCTTCAACGTTTAGGGAGGGGTTGACATTGGCAGGAAGAGACAGTCAACACAGAAGGGCTATTACTCCCATTTTACAGACAGGGAAACAAGTCTGAGCACTCACTGCTGCTATTAGGCCTTTTGTCTGCTATTCCGGAGTACTTTTCAACTAAAGGCATTTCTGGCTCTAGAGGGCACTAATGCTTTTCAGCGTGGGTGTGAGAGTGATATGGGTTGGTGGAGAGCACTACTAGGTATCCTCCTTAGGAGATAAGAGGTTGGGGGCTGGAAGAGGAGGTCACGAGACCTTTGGCTAAGTCTGGTAGAGACGAGAGAGGGCTGAGACACTGCCCAGAATACCTGCATGAAGAGCTGGAATCGAATCTCTTTGCGTTGTTTGGTCTTGATCAGCTCTAGTGCTATTGACTGATAGGAACAGAATTGTGCAGCTACTTGCTGGAGTTCCTCTCGGGCAGGACCATCAAACTGAAGAAGCAGAATGGACACAGGCCCAGGTATCACACTCCTGCCAGGGAGCAGCCCCCCTGACTGTCCCCTCCTCTGTCAAATTCCCTAGTCTTGAGTAAAGGGTCTGGCTTCCTCCAATCTCCTCCTTGCCATACCCGAGCCAGCATGAGGTCACTGATGTCTTTGATGATGGGACCCTCTTCCCGGAGCTTCCTCATCGCTTCACACCAGGAATCTGTGGTGAAGAAAGAAGAAAGACAAATGGGTTGAGCCACCCTGCCAGGCCCTTTGTGACCAGAAGAAAAGGCATTTTTGACAGTAGTGCTATGGAGGAGTCTAAAAACCTTTTATTTCAGGGGATCTGGAGGACTGGTATGGCTAGCCATCCTTCTCTCAGCAGAGGACTAATGGGGGTTATTTGCTTGGGGGAGCCAGGAAGGTGGGTAAAAATGGAATAGTTAAGGGTTGCACAAGGGGTCTGGAGGGGCACAAGTTCCTTACTGTGAATCTCTATGAGTTCAGGCAGGTTAGGGAAGAGCCGGGCCAACTCTTCCCGGGGCATTAGGTTCTCCTTTTTCATGCGCTGGTAAAAGATGAGGTCCAGGACCCGAAGTGTGCGTAGGTGGGATGCTTCCGTCACAAATAGCTCTGAGTAGTGGTTGTGACAAGGAGAGGCAGGAAAAACACATCAGCAAGTACCTAGAGTCATTACTGGGTCCCCACACCGCAATACTTTGGGGGGAAAGTAGAATGTTAGTTTCTCTACCCTTGGGCGAAGGCTGTAACTGGGGACCTCAGGGACACTCCCCTATTCCCATATCAGCACGAGTAGAGATGAGGGGAGCAAATCACGATCTCACCATTGATGACCTCTTGCCGGTCAATCTCCTTCTGTGTCAGCCCTGCCACCACATCCTTGCCTACTGTATGCTGCCAGTTTTGGACATCTGGCTCTGGCTCCAGGTCAGACAGCTGGCCCAGATCATCCTCCAGGAGGTGGGGAAGGAGGACATCTGTGTAGAACCCCTGATTGGGGGACTCGATGCTCCTGAGAAAAACGGGCAGGTCAGCTTCACTTCTAGGGAAGTCACACTCAAGGTGGTCCCTCTCTCTTCTGCCCTACCTGCATGACCCAAGCCCATGAGTAAGAGATGTACACCCAGCTGGCCCTAGTGGTGGGAAGGTGGCTAAGCATGGACACGTCAGAGATACCACTTACCTGCGGCCCATTTTGGGGGTGAAAGGAGGGGTTGGGTTCTCAAGAGACCTGTGGAAGGAATGTTAACTTTCAGCGTATTGCTACTGTATTACATAGCAATGGGTGGAGCCACCAGAGGCCACCCACCTAGTGGAGAGGCTGGAAGCAGAGGACGAAGCTGACTGGTGGAGGCGAGTGGCCTCAGCAGCAGCATCCATATCAACATCACTTCGAGAGCGGGGCACGTTTTCTGCCTTCCGAGATCGCTTCATCTCTTCCCGGCCCTTGAGGCTCTCAGAGCGGCCCAGGCGAATCTCTGAGCGTGAGCTGCAGGGAGGGACAGGAGACTTTGGGATCTGGCACTGTGTCTAGACTTTACCTGTTATCCCACTTCAAGAGTAACCAGTGCTGCAGGCTTCCTATCCTTCCCTGCAAAGTGCAAATATGGGGGCTCAGAGCTGCACATGAGAAACCACTGTTTGGTCTACAGATTCTCCACTGTCCTCAGTGAGTTCTTCACCTTGAGCTATGAGAAAGATGAAGTCAGAGCCTAAGAGAATCAGTTTTCTGGTGTGCCCAGATACCTAAGATACCATGTTCCTTTTTAGGAAACCTGGGCCAACCCAATCCTTCATCAGGAACCACAAGGTCTAATTTCCTATCCCTGAGCCCACCTGATGGCCAGTGCTTCTTGACTCTGTTTTGAACCAGCTATTCTCGTCTCTAGCTCTGCTTGAGGTGAGTCATGCTGGCTCCAGGATTCCGCAGGCTACCTGTCAGAAGATGCTATCCTACTCTCCAGTTGTGATGCAGATTTCTCCTATTCTTACTCTGACAGCACCCTTCCTAAGCTTCTGTCCTTTCCAGGGAGCTGTGGATAGGAAGGGTGCTTCCATAGCTTGGTTACAGACAGGCAAGGGCTCAACCTCTGGCTGTCATGGTTGGCTACCAAGCATCCTTTCAGCTTGGCAAGATGCTGACAAGAACAGTTTTCTGTTGAGTCCTGTAGTACATCAGCTTCAAAACAGCTGGCATCTCTAACCCCTAGATGCCCCTGGATTCCTTCTCCCTCCCCTGCCCCGGGCCTCATATGACTGCTAGGCTGATCATCTGCTGACATTACTAATCTACATCCTGTTCTATGTCTGGGACTGCAGAAGGCCTGGGGATATCTGGAGAGCTCTTAATAGCACAGCAGGCTGCTACAGCATGAAGCCAAGTGCCTTGAATCTCCATTTATCCTCACTCTAAACTGCCAGAGGATTCAAAATGGAGTTTACCTCCTGTGGTCTGAGTTTGTCTTCGGGGTTGGCAAATAACCTGCAGGCTGATAGCGCTCAGATATCTGTGAGAACAATTCTAACCTTGATCAACTCACATTTTCCTTCTGTGCTCCACTTAGAGTAGCTTTAGGATCCTTAATTTGAACAAATTTACCTAGGAGGCCAAGAGGACAAGTCTATACATGTTTCAGATGTTTTCTCAAGGTATTGACAAATGTCTCCCAAGCTTAAAATATTAGATATATCTAAATACCACAGCAAGCACATAATTTCTAACTAATTTACCCACTAACATTAGAGTTCAACCTCTTTCCACAGTACAAATCTAATGCCCCCAAGTCTTTGTCAACTTTTTTACATGTACTTAGTTTATGAAGGCCTAATATAAACAGGAAAAAATAACCTTATATTCAAGCAGGAATATTTGACTGAGAGTTGGCAGTTATTTCAAAGGCAAAATGGCTAGAATATCCACACTGCTGGCTATGCAGTATTGTACATCAAGGGTGACTTGAAGAATCTGCATGGATATTTCTGACTATAAGCAATATTTAGTGTTGGCTGTAGACTTTTAGTCATGACTTGACTGCTGTCATCCCAGTCAAGAGCAAGTCAGTCTTAGAGCATATGCTCAAACCAGACAGAGATCCTTGTTAGCACTTGATACCTGATGGAGATGCAGAAAAGTGAGATGCCACAATCTCAACATTCCCCACCCTGCCTTTTGTATGAGATAGGGTCTTACTATGTAGCCTAGGCTGGCACTGAACTCCCAGTGATCTTGCCTAGGCATGCAGAGTGCTGAGATTATAGGCATGTACCTCTATGCCTGACCCCCTTTTCTTTTTGAAAGGTAAGAAGTCTGTTTTGAGGCAACCAACTCTATTATGTCTTTGCTGAGGTTGATACCTCCCTCATTCCCAGCCGTATTGCTTGCCTTCGGAGTATCAGCAGAGCCTCCTTTCTAGCTTTTTTCTTGATAGGCAGACAGGGACTTTTCTTTTGCTTGTCTGGGCCTTTTATTTTCCAAGACTCCCCTTTGTTTCCTCTAGTCTTTTATCCTCATCACCCAGTACTTCCTGATTAGCTGTTGCATAATATAATCTAGCCTCATTTTGGGATAGAGCTGCTAAGTAGTTAGGGGTGAATCTGAAGGAAATTTCAGCACATAGCTCTTGTTGGGGCTCTGTATGATTTTCTACTGGTCTAGTTACCAACACAAGATATGGTTTCGGAAGCAACTCAGGGTGGGTGGGTTGGGAGTAGGTGAAGAAAGGTCTACAGTAGGACCTCAAGGTCTAGTGGAGAAGAACAAGGCAGCTGGAATTAAACCCTAGTGCTGAAGCCTGCCCGTGTCTGACACCTTGGGCAGTTGGTGAGCCCCGTTCAGCTACCTGTCACTTTCCAGTAGGTCCTCAGGAAAGCTTCCTGTTGAGAGTCGTTGTGTTCCCGGTTCTGGGACATCATATTGCTGGCTGTTCTCAAAGTGCTGAATGATGTTCCTCACATTACCTGGTTTAACTGCAGGAGAAAAGAAAATGAAGGGTACTACGCTTTCTGTTCCAGGGCCTTCACTCCCCTCTAGTCTAGAAGACAGAGCAATGAGCAGGCATGGCTGAGAACAGCATGAGGCCCAGAGGCAGGAGACATGGCCTAGTCCTGGCTCTTTTCTGATTATGCTGTGTGGTCCTAGGTGGACACTCTCCTTTTCTGGCCTACTCTTTTCTCATGTATAAAATAACAGGGTTTGGAAAGCTCTCACATTCTTCATCATATGACAGTTCTGTTTTCCCTAAGCCACATGACAGGCTGAGATAAAGGAGAAGGCACAAAGAACAAAATCACATCTACATGGAATCGACCCATGTTGCCAAATTACTTAGGCCCTTTTCAAATTTCTATTACTTTTAGAGATTATTATTTTGTGTGTTGTTTTCTTTTTCCAACTCTCCATCCTATTCTTTTTCTCCTGTTTTGGGCTCCGTCATTAAAAAGATCACTGAAAGGTGATCACCTAGAACAGAAGTGACACAGTATTTCTGATATTCAAATTCTAGCCTCCTTTCCAAGCTAAAACCACAGGGAGCCACTCTTGTTCAAGGACAGGCAGAGGTTAAGGAGAAACCTAGGAAATATTATTTGGAGACCCTACAAAGGGGGACTCAGACCTGGACCCACTGGCTGGGGGCCAGAGAAGAGATAAAGAACTTGTCTTTAGGTCAAAACTGAGTCTTGTGAGGTTAGAGAAGGGTTTGGGAAGGGGACAGAGAAGGCAACATAAATATCCCAGGGCTCAGACCTGACAATAATACCCGACTGGTATTAAACACTTTTTGTAAAATTACCATATTGCTTTTATTTTTAACTACCTGATTAATTTTCTACAACATTTTCAGACATTTTGCATTTGTCTTCTTACACAAATATGGAGATTAATATAACGTATTAACATGAACATTAGTGTTTAAAGAAAATTTCATGCACTGGCATAGTCCTTGTTTATTTTCTCTGAGATGCTTATCATCTAAGATTTTAGAGATTCTAATGCCCATCTGTCTCAAAATCAGACTTTCATAGAAAGATTCCTAAGCCAGAGAGAACAAAAAACATTTGTTTATTCTCTTCTAAGTCTACAATCTCACATTTGAGGAAGATGGTTAGGACAGCACTTTTCTTAAACCCTGTAAGTGACTGGATGCATGTTTTAAGAATAAGGCCATTACCACCATTTGCTTATGGACGTTGAGACCAGATCTACCTGTCCTTGACTGAATGAGCATCTAGTCTTGGGCCATCAGACACCATAGTCTACTGTACAACAACGGTGGACTTGGCTGGGTGGTAATGTGGGAGGCCTGGGAACATTCTATAACTGAAAGCACAAGGCAGAGTCTACTAGCTGCCATCTCACAGGCCACCTAAAAAATGTCTAGGTGTGCTTCAGACAGAGTTATATTCTGGTTATAGCAAAAAACAGGTGCAGCCCTGAGATCTAACATGATTAATTCAGAGTTCAAGGGGAAACAGAAAGGGCACTTTTTTTTTTTTTTTTCGGTCTTTTTGAGACAGGGTCTCCTTGTAGCCCCAGCTGTCCTGGAACTCACTATGTAGACCAGGCTGGCCATGAACTCACAGAGATCTGCCTGCCTCTGCCTCCCAAGTGCTGGGATTAAAGGCGTGCGTCACCATGCCTGGCGAAAGGGTCTA